ACGCTGTAGGATTTCCAAACTCTTTTTCACTAAAATCTTCACCCCCTCCCTCCAAAATTTGATACCCCCTACCCCTCTTTCCCTTTTCTCCAAATATACACGCCCTCCTAGTCATCCTATTGTGCTCCATCCTCTCTAAATGACCAACCACCTCAAAAACCCCTCTTTGGCCCTCTCAATAACAGTTTTAGTAACCCCTCACTTCTTCCTAGTCATCAAATTCCACAAAACATGATATTTCAGTTGTAAATGAAGCTCTATGTGTAAATAAAACAAGGCGTATTTTAATAAATTAGACACATGTGCAACTCTTGGGTATCTTTATTGAGGAAACGTTTCGCCACACAGTGGCTTCATCAGTCCATACGTAGGAGAAACTTGAAGAACAGGAGAAGAATGAGGTAATCAGTCCCTCTACCTTGAGTCGATGTGTTCAGTCCATCAATCTTGAATAGAATACGGCACATGAGCGGAGAAGCAGCTTATAAACCGTATGGCAGGAGAGGTGCAGCAGTCATAGGTGGTGTCACATTTGTTCAATGTGGAAGTAGGTCGTGCCCAAGAATTAGGCAAGCGAAGAATTCCTAAGTATTAAGATCCCAAGAAGTTGCAGTGTCTGACAGATTTGTAGATGAATGGTTCAGAGAACCGACATGGCGTATTTTACAACAGTTGTTATTAAAGCTTCTTGTAAATGCATTCAATTTTAAATCAAACCAGTTGAAAATTAAACTAATGTTAAATTAATAAAATTGTAAATGAAAGTATCTGTGAATAAATCCAAAGGTAAATCTGAATAAATCTGTATATAGGGAATCAGAATGCTCTTTCGTGAGCATTTCAGTCACTCGATATAATAAATTATATATTATGCTCGGACTCAAAGAGTCAATGGTTGACAGGTTGACTGAATGGTTGAATGATTGGGAGGCAGTCTGAACGGCTGAAAGACAGAGTGAATGATTGGGAGGCAATATGAATGGTTGAGAGTGAATGATTGGGAGGCAGTCTGAACGGCTGAAAGACAGAGTGAATGATTGGTAGGCTGTCTGAATGGTTGAAAGACAGAGTGAATGATTGTGAGGCAGTCTGAACGGTTGAAAGACAGAGCGAATGATTGGTAGGCAGTCTGAATGGTTGAAAGACAGAGTGAATGACTGGGAGGCAGTCTGAACGGTTGAAAGACAGAGTGAATGATTGGTAGACAGTCTGAATGGTTGAAAGACAGAGTGAATGACTGGGAGGCAGTCTGAACGGTTGAAAGACAGAGTGAATGATTATGAGGCAGTCTGAACGGTTGAAAGACAGAATGAATGATTGTGAGGCAGTCTGAACGGCTGAAAGACAGAGTGAATGACTGGGAGACAGTCTGAACTGTTGAAAGAGAGTGAATGACTGGGAGACAGTCTGAACGGTTGAAAGAGAGTGAATGACTGGGAGACAATCTGAACGGTTGAAAGAGAGTGAATGACTGGGAGACAGTCTGAACGGTTGAAAGCTACAGTGACAACAAGCTGAACATTTCATGAGGTAACACAGAACAGTGTCATTCTATTTACAAAAATGATTCGTTCAAGCATAGCATTATCAAGCCAAGTCTGTTCAATAATTACACCTGTTCACTACGTACACCTGTTTATCAACTACACCTGTTACCAGCTACACCTATTTATCAACTACACCTGTTACAAGCTACACCTATTTATCAACTACACCTGTTCACTAGCTACACCTATTTATCAACTACACCTGTTCACCAGCTACACCTGTTCACCAGCTACACCTATTTATCAACTACACCTGTTCACCAGCTACACCTGTTCAGCTACACCTGTTCACCAGCTACACCTGTTTAGCTACACCTGTTCACCAGCTACACCTGTTTATCAACTATACCCGTTCATCAGCAACACCTGTCACCAGCTACACCTGTTTACCAGCTACACCTGTTCAACAGCCACATCAACGCTTATCACCCTCAACTGTTCATAACCACACATATTCATCAACGACACCTTTTCAACAGTCAGTCTTGTTCACACACCTGTTCACACACCTGTTCATACACCTGTTCTCCTCAACAATTCTAATATCGTTTGGAAATCCAAATCCCAGAATGAAAAAAAAAAATTATCTTAACATGATTTGGAAAATGAAAATTATTTCGTATATTAATTTACATTTACGGATGAAAATGTTAATTTAATTTTCCCATCAATGTTGACAAGAAGTCACCACAATGTCAAATTTTTTGGCGAACTATAAAATGTTCAATATTTTTTAAGGTAATAACAGAAAGTTCATCTTGTCTGCTATTATATTCGTGAAATTTCTGTCATGTGGCTATTGTTGTACTTACGGGTTTGATCCGAGGAAGGGGAAATTACCTACAATTTTTTTGTAGGTTACTGATGTTTCTGTTGCTCTTTAATTTTTTTTATTTTTTTTCTGCCTCTTATTATTATTATTATTATTATTATTATTATTTATTATTATTATTTTTATTATAACTTCGTAATGTAACTCAGAATTTGGTATACACCCTGAGAGGTGACTTTAATCCTTATCTTAGGTGGATTTCGGCCTTAACGCTCCTCGAACATTCAACAGAGCGTGAAACTAACTTAGATCTCGTTTAAGTCGAGAGAAACGATTGTCACACACTGACACACTTCGCTGACAATCGCAAAAGCTGAATGCGATTCAAATCCAAACCTCGAAATATTTCTCGCTGAAACTACGGAAATTTACATAAAAATTCAGTTCGTGGTAAAGTCAAGTGGTTGCACCTTTATCTTAACTCTGTTATATAAGTCAAGGTTGTTTAATGGGGTTTGAATCCTATCGATTACACGAGGGTCACCGTGGCAGCGCGTAACCTTCTCCATAACCAGACAAGAATACCTCAGTCCCTTAAAAAGGGATTTAATTAAATTTTTGCATATAAACACAGAGACATAATGTACACATCGCAGTGTAGATATCCTGCGTAGGTCAAGGATACGTAAGACACGATAGACAATTTTAATTGTACAGAAGGCTAATAATACTGAAAACGAAATATTGTTAGAAATAAATTATTTTAGAAAGTACCAGTTTTTTTTTAAAGCTGGGTATGATAATTTAACTAAAAACAATAAATTAAATATAGTGTTAAAAATTAAACTGATATCCAAGGACAGATATCAATACACTTAAAAACTCATCTTTTCTTAAATATTTACATTTCGACAGAGTAAAAAAGACGGAAAATTGTTGACTCGGCATTCAAATTCATACAACTAATTCAGTCGAGAATATGAGAAAGGTGAATAAGTAGGAAATTCAACTGTCCATATCTAAAATATCTGCTCAGCAATAACTACGACTTAGCTGTATTAAATTCTGTATAGATAGTTGAGACGAGGATCGTATAGTAGAAGGATATATACATACACAAGCATATATGTGAAAAAAATACACTCGTTCGTGGTTACAATCCTATATATACTGCTTGTGGAGGCTAGTACACCAAACGGGAAGAAGAATGAAATTAACTCTGAAGCACCCACACCATCGTATGTCCTCGGATCACGGTGCAACACCTAGCTCTGCTGGGTGCGTGATCTTTGTAGGATTGGATGGTCCAGTGGGTTAGAGAGTCGTGAATTTTCGCTAACAATGAGGCTGGCTAAAACAACACGGGTTCGAAGCACCGTCTCGCACTGTTGTTATTGAATAAATACCACTCGTTCGTGGTTACGATACTACATATAAATGAGAAGGAAAATATTCTAACACCGTCAAGGGGAAATCTCAGTAATTTTCCTTGAAGCTTTCTTAATTATATATTATATATATATATATATATATATATATATATATATATATATATATATATATATATATATATATATATGTCGTGCTGAATATGTAAAACAGGTCAATTAGCAAGAACTCATTTAAAATTAAGTCCTTTCTAAAATTTTCTCTTATACGTTTAAAGATATATATTTTTCATTAATGTTGATGTAAAAATTTATAATTTTGCTCCAAAAGGAACTTAGAAAACTTACCTAACCTTATTATAACAAGCGCAATTTATTTTAGCCTAACCCAGCTAAATATATTTTAGATTTGTTTACATTAATTTAATACTAAACAAACACAGTGAAATATATTTTTTTTCGTTAGGTTCAGAATGATTTTGGAGAAATTATTGCATACACAAATTTTTACTTGTCCTATATGGCAAGATGAGCGTTGCTATTTAAGCCAAGATCGCAAGTTCTGCCTATTCGGCACGACATATATATATATATATATATATATATATATATATATATAATATATATATATATATATATATATATATATATATAATATATATATATCCTAGGTAGTAGGTTGGTAGACAGCAACCGCCCAGGGAGGTACTTCCGTCCTGCCAAGTGAGTGAAAAACGAAAGCCTGTAATTGTTTTACATGATGGTAGGATTGCTGGTGTCCTTTTTTCTGTCTCATGAACATGCAAGATTTTAGGTACTTCTTGCTACTTCTACTTACACTTAGGTCACACTACACATACATGTACAAGCATATATATACACACACCCCTCTGGGTTTTCTGCTATTTTCTTTCTAGTTCTTGTTCTTGCTTGTTTCCTCTTGTCTCCATGGGGAAGTGGAACAGAATTCTTCCTCCGTAAGCCATGCGTGTTATAAGAGGCGATTAAAATATCGGGAGCAAGGGGCTAGTAACCCCTTCTCCTGTATATATTACTAAATGTAAAAAGAAGCTTTCGTTTTTTCTTTTGGGCCACCCTGCCTCGGTGGGATACAGCCGGTGTGTTGAAATATATATATATATATATATATATATATATATATATATATATATATATATATATATATATATATATATATATATATATATATATATTAGTTTTGCACACATAATCACAGTCATTGAGGATGGAAAGGATTTACAGTAAATAAGATGACGTTCGATTCTTCCTCAGCTCCCCCTGAGAACGTGGAAACAATGGCAGCCTGGACGGCGCGTCTGCCCTGTAGAGTGAAGAATGTGGACACCCCGATGCTGGTGCTGTGGTACAGGCGGAGGGAAAACCATCCCTTCTACAGGTAGGTCTTGACTTACATCTTGTAAGTCGTGATATAATAACTGGTCATGCATAACGAAAGGTAGTTTAGAAACACATGTGGGCAAACATTAGGACGTATTTATTTGCAGCTTAACTTTCAAAATACGTCGGTAAATACCTTTGTCCTTAAATATGCAATTTAAACAGTTTTTGCTTCTATTTGATATGATAATATTTCTCGTATTTTTAAAATAAATAATTAAAGATTTCCGAATAAATATGTACCAAAGGTTTGCTCATATTTTTTTTTAAATCTCTTTTAACTTGCTCTTTGTGTAAATCTTAGCCTGGGTGTTATAAATTGACTTTTGAAGAGGTACAATCCTGGCTATTAAAAATCTAATCCTGAAGCCCGTTAGTCTTACCCTGGCTGGTATATATCATTCTTCAACACAACAACCAAAGTGGCATGAAAACAAAAATATAAATTATAGAAGAGGCTAGGACAACTTATCGCTCTATGTAGAGTTTTGAAAAGTCATGCTATGCAAAGAGCGAAACGTTGTCCCAATAAAATCTTGTTCTGAAACGTGTGTCTGGATGTACCTACCTGTAGATAGTAAACATACACACACACACACACATACTATATCCCTTTGCTATAACTTGTTCGATATCCGTATTCCTTACATCAGATGAGATGTGGAACGCTCTGTGCTACGGTACAATTGATGTATACCCTACAACACTGAAAGTTATCTCTAGGTGTTAGGTCGTTCAACTAATTAAATATGGAGACAACAGAAGCAGTACTTGTGTTGTCTCCATATTTTGTGAAACATTGTTTTGCTTATCTACTTGTATTGTAAACCACTGTTAGAGGGTTAGGATGTATAAATTAAAGAAAATTATGTTTAAGAAGAAATAAGAAATAAGCTGGAGCTACACCTCTGGCAGTGGGGTGTCTCAGTGGCTACACTCAACGTTAAAGTGTGTACTTTTTTCACGCGTGTGAAGGACTAAGTAAGTAAGTAAGTAAGTTTATTCAGGTATACACAAATACAGTTACATAGAATTATCATACATAGCAGCATATGTGTAGAGAACCTAGGATAACCCAAAAAAGTCAGACAGAGTGACTTATTTCCATTGGGGTCAACTTGGCGACAACTGTGGAAAACTGGCGATGAGAGGCACGAATACCGACCAGTTGTCAGGAGGAAGTCGAGTCAGGGAAATGCTACTATTGTTCTCAGTGAGTCCTCGAAGGAAGATGTCTGAGAATTCTATTCACTAACTTTCTGAGTTAAAGGAATCTTCATGAATACAATTATAACCCAAGTAAAATCTCAGGGCATTTGGGCGTTTAATTTTACGATAGCATCTCGCAGAAAAGAGTGAGGATCGAACCCATGGTAAGCCAGCCCTAAAACTAGCAGACCAGAAAAAAACTTTCACCTCAATGAAATTATTATATAAAAAATACTCTAATTATGAAAAGAGTGTAAAGGAGCTAATATTTTTGGATAAGGTGTAGCTCCTTAACATTCTTCTCGTAGTGAACAAAAACTTACAATTCCTTGGCTGGAAAAATATATAAATTATTACCCGCAATTAAGAAACTGAAACTTATGACGACGTTTCGGTCCGATTTGCATCATTAACAAGTCACACTGATATATTAATGGTCCAAGTCAGGCAGAAACGTCATCAGTTTGTCTCCCAAGTGCGGGATACTTGTGTACTTTTCTCATACATTAAATCACTTTAGAAACGAATCAAGTTGAAACCTCCGTAATTTGGTCTCTTAACAAGATTTATCAGGCGAGTGTGCACTCTCCACTGGCCCACAGACTAGTCTGTCGGTTCGAAAACTTAATTCTGCGAGTAGTTTACAATCGTATTATTATGATACCGCGAGTCATTCAGTACGGTACGTAAATCAGGGTGAAAAATCACATTGCCATAACAAAAATTCATAAATGACCCACAGATAGGAGAGAGAGCTTCTGACAACGTTTCGGCCCGTCCTATTTTCTGATCAGCTTCAAAGTTTGATGCCTGATTCGTGTTGCGGATAGGATAGTACCAATTAAGATTCGTTATGTTCGTGCGTAAGATAGTTAATTTACTAAAACAGCTAAAACATAAACATGGAAGTACTGAAATTCACGGGGCAATTGAAGAACACCTCACACCTGTTATTTGATAATGTAAGGTAGATGGAAACAGATGAGACTCGTGTGACATTTTATTGTGGCAACGTTTCGCTCTCCAGGATCACTGTCAAGCCTGATAAAGTTCCTGGAGAGCGAAACGTTGCCCACAATAAAATGTCACGTCAGTTGCATCTCTTTCCATTTACCTAACATACTGTCGGTAATCCTACCATTATTACTGACAATGGTCCAGATTGGACGAAACGTTGCTTAAAATTTCTTCTTCAAAGCCTAGGTTATTTCTAAACGATTCTTCATGGGAATGAATTGGTCTATAAAGCATTCACATTAAACTGTATATTCTAAGTGCACGTATAAGGTAGTCACAGCTCCTTTGATCCTATAAGATGACCTGTATAAGGCTGCTTACACTCGTCTCTACTCACATAGTAAACAGGAACGTAGGAATTTCCCAGGTAAAGTTATGTTACGCTCTTTTGCTCTCTTGTTTTATCCTGGGCTATTATCCCCCTCGGAGTTATGGAAATATAAATACGATAAGGGATTACGATAAGGGATTAACACAAGGGATAAACGTGAAGGATTAGGTTGTGATCTAAGACAAAGGCACCGAAGTGCCACTTTGTTTTAATGGCTTTAACGCAACACATGAGTCATTCTCGATTTCAAATTGATTTGTGGAATTATGTACCGTTTTAAGTACATAATTTTAAGTATGAAAAGATTTTTACAGCATAATTATGTTCCATATAAGATGTGCGTGGTTCAACAAGGTTCCTCTTGCTCATAGGCTCCAAATGCTCCTGGGTTCCAGATACTCATAGGTTCCAAATGCTCCTGGGTTCCAGATACTCATAGGCTCCAAATGTTCCTGGGTTCCAGATACTAATAGGCTCCAAATGCTCCTGGGTTTCACCAACTCCTAATCTACCAACGTTTTTTTTTTCAAACTCGTAAATAAATTTGTATCTACCCAAATAAAACGCAAAGCATACACGCAAAAAAAAAAAAGAGAACAACCATGTAAAGTTTAGTATGAGCAATCATTTATAAAATCATTACTAATTACGTTCACAGTTACATAATACTAATATAATCAAGTCATGAAAAGCGCTAAACCCAGTTACGGTAAATCATGTATCATATTTTGTACTTTTTTCAGGCGATTCTCAATGGTTTCTAACTTTATTAAATAATATATATATATATATATATATATATATATATATATATATATATATATAATATATATATATATATATAATATATATAGATCAACCATTGTGGAAAAATAGTGAAATTCCAAGCGCATTCGCGACTTCTCACATCATCAAGGAACTCCTTGATAATGTGAGAGGTCACGAAAGCGCTTGGAATTTCACTATCTTTTCACAGTGGTTGTTCTGCACATTGTGATATCACCTGTTTATATATATATATATATATATATATATATATATATATATATATATATATATATATATTATATATATATATATATATATAGGAGATATAATATATGAGAGAGAGGGCGAATGATTCATTATCAGATTCATTATGAAATTCATTATGAGACAATTCGCCTCTCCACAACACGCACATATCACCACGCACTCGTGGGAATCAACCCAGCTGGTCGAATATTTTTTTCGGTCACGAGGCATGCAAGAGGGCCAGTGCTGAAAATTCATAACAATATATATAGTTTTTGCTTAAATAATTTTGGGGGGCCACGTCTGAAATATGCGAATTTTTAAATATCAAGAGAAAAATTATTATATTGCATTTGCGAAATTGCTTAATGTGATTGTAGCGATGCTTAATTTATCCTAAGTCGCTAAATTTATATAGTGGTCATACAGCTCTTGATAAATAGGAGGTAATCATGATATGATTACCTCCCATTCACAACATGACTACCTTCATGCTGGTGGAGGATTCCTCATCCTTCACTAGCATACAGGTACTTATATTAAAAAGTAAATAGCGCTACTACACTACAATAATTTCATAATACAACTTATTACTCCAGTCACTCTAAGATATATATATATATATATTATATATATATATATATATATATATTATATATAATATATATATATATATATATATATTAGTATTTTCTCATCACAGAAATACTAACAGCGTTCATGCTCCATTGCTCCCTCACACAAAATCAGACTGATACCTGGATTTTCCATAAAAAAGTAATTCGGATGAAAGCTGGAACCTTTCACACGCGATTTTACTGGTGTGAGACTGTCTGAGGGTCTTCGTTTTTAATGCTCAGTTGCCAAGTGGTAACGGCTCTCTCGCCTGGTGCTTCTGAACTGGAGGTTCGAGCCAACAGGGGCCTCTTTTACACATTTTAATCTTTATGATACCAACCATATTAGGATATTGCGTACCCCCGACGTAGTGCCTAGAAGTGCTCTCCTGATTTTTTGCTTTGCTTTCTCCAAATGTTTAGTTTGTAACTTGAGAATGCCTCAGTCGATCGGTTTCAGAGTTTTAAACTCTGGTGCATAGTAACCAGGAGAAAAGCTCATGTAACAAGTGGCATCCACAGGTGCCTTCTGTTCGAGTTTTTTTGTGGACCGTCATTTGATTTCGTTTCCGTGTGATTATTATAATTATGGGGAAGCACTAAACCCATAGATTTATACAGCGCATGGGGGAGAGGGGTTGTGGAAGGTATTCAGACTCAATTCAGGGAAACGGAGCACAGATCCAATTCCCTAGATCAAGAGCCCCTCACCAGCGTCAAGGAGTCTCTCTTGAGAGGTTTCCGTGTGATAACTTAAGAACTTCGCCTTTGATCGGCTTCAAACTTTTCGAAGCAGTGTATCCTTTAAGAAGAGTGTATCCTCTTATAAGAAGTGGGTATCCCTTTATAAGAAGAGTGTATCCACTTATAAGAAGTGGGTATCCTCTCATAAGAAGAGTGTATCCTACTCTTTCAGAGTAGTATTTCAAACGAAATCTGAATTTCGAACAGTCTGTCCCTGTCTACTCTGTCAACCAGTTACTGTATTTTGTAGGTAGTTATCATATCAGCCCTGGTCCTTCAGACCTCTACTGTCATCACATTCAGCTTCTACGAGATATCTAGTCGTGTCTTGTGTATAAGTTTGCGTGCAATAGCTGAGAGACATCGTTATTGGAAAAACGAAGAGACACTTAAGGTCTGGCGTCTGGTAACATTGGGGTCGTTCAAGCAGCCTTATGGTCAAATCATCGTTTTAAGACGTTAGTAACTATTTATTAGATCACCATCAGGCTGAGTTTGAATTATTATTATTCTTAATATTTATTTATTTATTATTATTTTTTTGAATGTGGCTAAACACATTCAACCTATGCAGTATAGTACCATCATCGAAGTACAGGAAATACACACCAAGAGCTCTATTCCTCTCATCATATATATGCTGAAAGTTCATCGTAATTACTATTCTAGGTATTAAGGTATTCTTGACAGGTGGTGAAAATATTACATGCAGCCTTAATGACCCTGGTGTATTCGATAGCCTTAAAAATCTCATAAACCAACCAAATAACCCACAGTCCTTGCATCATCTGACTCGACTTGCTACATATATTTCGAAACGAAGTCACGGTACCGTGGCTGGAGCAATACACAAATAACCCACCTCTTTTTCGGTTGTATTTTTTGGCTCTCTTCGTTTCTCGCTTCTCTCTGTGACTTGTTAATGGTCCACGTTGGACCGAAACGTCGTCAAAAGTTTTACTCGCCAAATTGCGAGTTATTTGTGTACATTTATTCTGTTTTTCTGTTGCTCTATATTGGATTCATGAAGTCCATGGTGGGCAAACGTCTCCAAATGCCTTTAGTAATGGTCAATAAATCCATCGGATTCTCTACTAATGATAAATCATCTAATAGAGCTCTAAACTGATAATTAGTGAATGCACTGAAGCTCTATTACAATGGTCAGTGAATCTATCAGAGTTTTAAATTGATGGTCAACGAATTCATCCCAGCTCTATACTAATGATTAACGAATCACTCCAGCGTGAAAAGCCCTCAAAACTCTGCATGGATTTTCTCTAAACCTTTTGATTGATTTACAAAAGAGAATTAAGCTCCAGAGCGTGTAACTGAGATAATGTTGATGCAATGCTAATTGTATGGAAATGTCATGTTACGTTGATAACATGTTGGTATGTTGTTAACATGCTGATAACATGTTGGTATGTTAACATGCTGATAACATGTTGGATATTTGTTAACATGCTGATAACATGTTGGTATGTTGTTAACATGCTGATAACATGTTGGTATGTTGTTAACATGCTGATAACATGTTGGTATGTTGTTAACATGCTGATAACATGTTGGTATGTTAACATGCTGATAACATGTTGATTGATTGATATCTTGTAAGTTATGACTCTCTTGGTTCTTCTTTCTTCTGAGGTAAACAGATTCACATATGTTAACCTCACTAAGTAGGTTAACCCTGTTAGTTCTTTTTTGTAGTGTGTGTGTGTGTGTGTGTGTGTGTGTGTGTGTGTGTGTGTGGTGTGTGTGTGTGTACTCACCTAGTTGTACTCACCTAGTTGAGGTTGCGGGGGTCGAGTCCGAGCTCCTGGCCCCGCCTCTTCACTGATCGCTACTAGGTCACTCTCCCTGAGCTGTGAGCTTTATCATACCTCTGCTTAAAGCTATGTATGGATCCTGCCTCCACTACATCGCTTCCCAAACTATTCCACTTACTGACTACTCTGTGGCTGAAGAAATACTTCCTAACATCCCTGTGATCATCTGTGTCTTCAGCTTCCCAACTGTGTCCCCTTGTTACTGTGTCCAATCTCTGGAACATCCTGTCTTTGTCCACCTTGTCAATTCCTCTCAGTATTTTGTATGTCGTTATCATGTCCCCCCTATCTCTCCTGTCCTCCAGTGTCGTCAGGTTGATTTCCCTTAACCTCTCCTCGTAGGACATACCTCTTAGCTCTGGGACTAGTCTTGTTGCAAACCTTTGCACTTTCTCTAGTTTCTTCACGTGCTTGGCTAGGTGGGGGTTCCAAACTGGTGCCGCATACTCCAATATGGGCCTAACATACACGTGTACAGGGTCCTGAATGATTCCTTATTAAGATGTCGGAATGCTGTTCTGAGGTTTGCTAGGCGCCCATATGCTGCAGCAGTAAATTTGGTTGATGTGCGCTTCAGGAGATGTGCCTGGTGTTATACTCACCCCAAGATCTTTTTCCTTGAGTGAGGTTTGTAGTCTCTGACCCCCTAGACTGTACTCCGTCTGCGGCCTTCTTTGCCCTTCCCCAATCTTCATGACTTTGCACTTGGTGGGATTGAACTCCAGGAGCCAATTTCTGGACCAGGTCTGCAGCCTGTCCAGATCCCTTTGTAGTTCTGCCTGGTCTTCGATCGAGTGTATTCTTCTCATCAACTTCACGTCATCTGCAAACAGGGACACCTCAGAGTCTATTCCTTCCGTCATGTCGTTCACAAATACCAGAAACAGCACTGGTCCTAGGACTGACCCCTGCGGGGCCCCGCTGGTCACAGGTGCCCACTCTGACACCTCGCCACGTACCATGACTCGCTGCTGTCTTCCTGACAAGTATTCCCTGATCCATTGTATGCCTTCCCTGTTATCCCTGTTGGTCCTCCAGTTTTTGCACCAATCTCTTGTGTGGAACTGTGTCAAACGCCTTCTTGCAGTCCAAGAAAATGCAATCCACCCACCCCTCTCTCTCTTGTCTTACTGCTGTCACCATGTCATAGAACTCCAGTAGGTTTGTGACACAGGATTTCCCGTCCCTGAAACCATGTTGGCTGCTGTTGATGAGATCATTCCTTTCTAGGTGTTCCACCACTCTTCTCCTGATAATTTTCTCCATGATTTTGCATACTATACATGTCAGTGACACTGGTCTGTAGTTTAATGCTTCATGTCTGTCTCCTTTTTAAAGATTGGGACTACATTTGCTGTCCTTCCATGCCTCAGGCAATCTCCCTGTTTCGATAGATGTATTGAATATTGTTGTTAGGGGTACACATAGCGCCTCTGCTCCCTCTCTCAATACCCTGGGAGATGTTATCTGGCCCCATTGCCTTTGAGGTATCTAGCTCACTCAGAAGCCTCTTCACTTCTTCCTCGGTTGTGTGCACTGTGTCCAGCACTTGGTGTGTGCCCCACCTCTCCGTCTTTCTGGAGTCCCTTCTGTCTCCTCTGTGAACACTTCTTTGAATCTCTTGTTGAGTTCTTCACATACTTCACGTCATTTCTTGTTGTCTTTCCTCCTTCCTTCCTTAGCCTGATTACCTGGTCCTTGACTGTTGTTTTCCTCCTGATGTGGCTGTACAACAGTTTCGGGTCAGATTTGGCTTTCGCTGCTATGTCATTTTCATATTGTCTTTGGGCCTCCCTTCTTATCTGTGCATATTCGTTTTCTGGCTCTACGACTGTTTCTCCTTATTCTCCTGGGTCCTTTGCCTTCTATATTTCTTCCATTCCCTAGCACACTTGGTTTTTGCCTCCCTGCACCTTTGGGGAAACCATGGGCTCATCCTGGCTTTTTCATTAATCCTGTTACCCTTGGGTACAAACCTCTCTCCTCAGCCTCCTTGCATTTTGTTGCTACATATTCCATCATCTCATTAACTGGCTTCCCTGCCAGTTTCTCTGTTCCCACTGAACCCCGTTCAGGTAGTTCCTCATTCCTGTGTAGTCCCCTTTCTTGTAGTTTGGCTTCATTCGTCCTGGCCTTCCTGCTTCTCCCTCCACTTGTAGCTCTACTGTGTGTGTGTGTGTGTGTGTGTGTGTGTGTGTGTGTGTGTGTGTGTGTGTGTGTGTGTGTGTGTGTGTGTGTGTTGTGTGTGTGTGCGCGTGCGTGCGTGCGTGTGCGTGCATTTACATTAAATTTACACTCTCTGGTCCCAGTCCTATTACATATCTTTAATTTTATCCAGCACGTCAGTACCTCCGAGTATTTTGTATGCCATGGCCATATCACCTTAAACTTTTTCCTGTATGGTAGGATTTAATTATTATAGTCAGGCTTCGTATCTTTTCGTTCTTTAACTTAAGAACTGACCTGGCTAGGTGGATTCTTTACGAGTTTCATGGTAATTATTAGCCAGGCGTCTCACTGTAGTTAATAAAGTCCTGACTCTCTACCTACAACTGGTCAGGTAATCTTTAATTCAGTGTATTAGATTCACTGATATGTTAGCTAACTAATCGAATTTGGAGCATAGTGTCTTAGCCTTTTCCATAGACCTGGAATGTGCAACTTCACACATATTGTTCCCTCTTGTGACGAAACGAACTCACAGTGCTGTGACTCATGAAATCGTAATGACACGATTGCAAACAAACCATACAACGGGCGGGGATAGAACCCGCGATCAAAGAGTCATGAAACTCCAGACTGACGCGTTAGCCACTGGGCCAGCTGGCAGTGCTGTGGCTCGAACAATTTACGACTATGGTATTAAAGGAGCTTATGCATTTGTTAGGACATTTTATTAAGAAACTTTTCGCCCCACTGGGGCCAAACCTATGCATACGTTCATTCGTTTCCATAGTTACATACATAACGTCGTAACACATGGTCTTTTCTATACGCTATCCGTTTTTTTTTTTCACTCTCTCTCTTCTTCCTCCTGTTTTCTTTTTTATTATTTTATCTACATGATAATCGTACCACTGCGAAGTATTTCCTGTATTCGTGTTGTTTATATCCGCAGTTACGACGCCAGGAGCGGCAACTTGTCTGCTGGTGCAGGTCGAGTCCACGACGACGTTCTGGGACCACGATCAAAGTAAGTGTAGTACCAGCATCAAATGAACTACTACTGCTACTTGTCTACTACTACTACTACGTCTACTACTGCTACTATGTCTACTACTACTACTACGTCTACTACTACTACTACTTCTGCTGCTACTACTACGTCTACTACTATTATTACTACTTATACTGCTGCTACTTCTAATGCTACTATTACAATTTCTAATGGTATTACTACTACTACTACTTCTAATACTACTACTACTACTACCACCACTACTACTTCTAATACTACTACTACCACTACTACTTCTATTACTACTGCTTACACTACCACTATTACCTCTACCACTACATCTCCTCTTCCTTCTTCCTCTCTTTGTGCCATCTCTGTCTCCCTCTACTATATATATATAGACTCCCTCACCTTCTTGTGTTCGTGTCACTTGTTAATGGCCCAAGTCGGACCGAAACATCGTCATAACCTTCTCTCTCCTATATGCTTGTTATCTGAGTAACATCAGAATACTGTATTTACTTTTGAACGGCATGGCATGATAAGCCAGTAAAATATCTCAGTCGTATTACCAAAAAAAAAAAAAAATTTCCAATGGTATACAATCCCTAGACGCGCGTCACGACAAGATACGAAAATAATTGCTGGTTTGTAAGACTTGTCGTGAAGGTTGGTTTATAAACCAGGGGAAACTTATAATGTAGACGGCATTTTGCTCCAGTTCCCTTTACTCTGCATGACACGATTTTAGTTTAAAAAAGTATGTTAGAATGAGTAACATTTTCAAAATTAGTAAAAATCCTGTAACATCATCACAGACACCAAGGTGCATTTCACAATCTATGTTTTGTATAGGGAACTAGGCAATGTTTCGATCCGTTTTGTAAAGCCATAAATTCGCAAGCGGAGGGACTAAAACGTCGTCTTGTCATCATTTCAATGTTTTGAGTTAGTTGTGAATCGTTCGAACCACGAAATTTTTCCGAGGAAATAAAAAAAAGTATCACATTAAGCGAGTACCTCTAACATGACACCTAATTATTATGAAATTTTATTATTATATAATTATTATTATTAATAATTTATTATATTAAATTATTAATTATTATATATTAAACGTTTTCTTCGTATTGAAGGTTCGTGTTGCTGGCAAAGGAGAATTACCTACGTGGGAGCCCCGGAGCTGAGCCCAGTAGCGGGATGCCAGTCTTCCCCGGGTACCTGGAGTTGAGTCAGGTCACTAGGGAGGATGCAGGTAGCTTCAGCTGTAGAGTTGACTTCCTCAATTCGCCCACTCAAACCCACCGACTTCATCTGATTGTCTACGGTACGTCAAATGTTCTTTGTTGCTAACATCAATGGTATATTAGCCATTAAATTAGAGAGAAATATAATTATGTAGTAATTCTGCGCACTCTAAAGCCATTTAGGCCACGATCTACTTATAAATTAATGCTAAGTATAATTTAATCCCTAATTAAGGATCGAAGCAAGTTGTCTATGTATAATACGCTGAGAGACACAAACATCTACGTGTATAAACAGATATGTAGTTCAGTAAATGATATAATATATATATATATATATATTATATATAATTTATATATATCGTGGAAGAAACCTTCCCTAGGTTACGTGTATTGTCTTCTCTGAGGAAGGGTCCCCATCCATATCTGGAGGTGGTACTTCCCTATATATATATATATATAATATATATATATATATATATATATATAATATATATATATATATATATATATATAATATAGGGAGGTACCACCTCTAGAACTGTTATAGGGACAATCATCCTCAGAGAAAAGAATAAACTTGCTTCAGAGAAAACTCAAGGTTCTCCCTGAAGCTGTTTGAGAATTTTCTCCTACCACCCCCTATATTTTATATTTTATTAAAAGACAAACTACATTGACAAAACATTCACAAAAATACAATGGAAAGTAAAACAACATAGGTAACTCAGAGCTACATCTCGAATACTTCGTCCAGCTCGCCGGCAGTGGGCCGCGTGCCCAGAATGCCACAGGCATTTCCTCTCTGGATCGCAACACTGAGTCTCTGAAAGATGAAGCTGGTCACCCTGTGGTCCTTGGTTTCTATGATGAGCTTTTCACCCAGTTCTATTAGGAACTTTAGAGCACACTTGCCCCATGCTCCAAGGGTCTCCGACCCTATTGGGATGAAGTTATAGCAAGGGGGAAGGTCTTCATATTTGCGGATCTTCTGGATCTCCCTGTGGCTGGCAGCTCCACCCCCTTCCACTACAGAGTATGGCAAGTAGGTGTCTGCCAATATGGCGGCACAGGTGTAGTCCCAGGCAATCTGCTTTCCATCCTTCCAAGGTAGCATAGTGGCTCCATCAGGACGCTTTTGACTTCCGTCAGACCTCTGCACTATTTATATATTTATACAAAGCTTGATGCTCTTTTGTGAGCTCATTTACTCCCAGATGCTATTTCAGAGTCTACATTTGCTTTTAGATACACACGCATCAAGTAAATACACGCTCATTTCACGCGTATCTCTGAGTGTATATTCACTCAAAGATACGATATGAAAACATATACAATGAGAGAAACCCTTTAGGTATATTCAACAGTCTAGAGCACTTTTAAAGCAAGAAGTGTAATGGCCACCTGTCTTTACTAGAGATATCCTGTACAAAATATTTAGTCTGTAGAAGAAGCAATTGTTCCGATATATAAAATATTAGAATTAACATCTGATCATTTGATCACAATTCTTTTAACCTGTTATGTATAACCAAATTATAATTGACATAAAGATACAAATATATATTCCACGAAATTTTAAGTGTGGCATAAACATGAATTTGTGACTTATTAGAGCCTGACCTAAGTGCACACAGTCAGTCATTACCTGTACTGAGAGACTAAATCAGGAAAAACATAATAGTGTGGGTTAGGCTAGGAAAGATTTGTCAGGAAATAAGACAAGTGTTTCCTGACGCGGGTCTTAGTCATATGATGACCCGCAGCTGGAGCTTTAGATCACCTGACCGAGGGCTTCCTCTGGCTTTCAATGTAGTTTTGTCTTTGTGTGTGGCGATGTTTTCTGGATTCTCAGAAAGATAGAATGGCTACCTTTGTGCCCAGAAGCAAAGCCAACAATGGCAATAAATAGGAATAAATCCAAGCATGACTTGAATTTTGCAGAGGACGACCTGGTCATTATATGTCATGGTGCAAAAGGAGCATGGCAAACAAACAAAGTTCAGCACTAGACGACAGCCATAACCTAAGTTTAGATGTCAATACAGAAATAGTGTAGACATTAGGTCCAGCTCCAAACGACACAATGACACAGAGAACGAAATGTGCATTCGTGTGTTGCTATGTTAACGGAAAAACTCTGATTAGTGTCTTACCCAGTCAGATGGCTGGGGTGTGACTACTGGAGAATCGATTGTGATTCGTTGAGTTTACATTCTATCGGCTAAATGAACGTCCAAGCTTTGTTTAAAGCGTTCATCATCAATCTAGAATAATTCTATCACTGAATTAGTGATAAAAATAAATTCTCAGTGAATATACACCTAGACACATACACCACTTGGTATATATATATCAGTCTTTTAAACATGGATGGTTAGCTAATAAGGTTTAAACCTCATCGACTACACTAAGATTAAAGATTAACACAAAATGTCACCTGTTCAGGAATATTTTATTACCTAACATGAGATTAAAGTTAATCCCAGCGTATATACACAGAGACATTCACCTCTCAATGTATGTATCCCGTCATAAATTTTTTTAGATAAATGCTACATATAATTACATATATAATTAAAATTTTTATTATTCAATATATTTACTTGATTAAATTATAAGCCTTTATTATTGGAAATGTACAGTGAAAGCCATTTTTAATCCAAAATAATAAGTAGAGAGAATGTGCGAATTTTAAATAATTCTAAATTAGTTCGTGTTTATTATAAACAACAAAAAACATAATTGCAATGTTTTATACAGTACATATTTTTTGGGTATGTGCAATTACACTGAAAAATAATTACCTTTGTTTTTAATTACATTATGCTTCAAAATGCTTTATTTTGTAAGTATACAATGCTTGATATGTGCATATTGTAAAATTTCGTTATATGCTGTGTTTGGCATATCTTTGTGTGTGTGTTATAAAAGGCAGAGCGGACCACACAAGGCGGAAACTCAATAAAAGGCCCTCATATGCTTGCTTTCCGTCCACAAGGAAAAGACTCCTCACTGATGTAGTCAGCGAGGACTGTGGTCTTCCATGGTCGCTCTCTGAGCTGCTGTTATCCTTTTATTGTGTCCTTTATTCCCATTACTCAAGAAATCGTAATGACACGATTGCAAACAAACCATACCCCCGGCCGGGATTGAACCCGCGGTCACAGAATCTCAAAACTCCAGCCCGTCGCGTTAGCCACTAGACCAGCTAGCCACAATAAGATTCATCCAACTAGGTATATTTCTACACCATAGGAAGGTTAGCACAGGCACCACTGTGACCACAAATGCAAGTTTTTACAGAAGAATTTCCAGCTAGCGTGGCCGTGACGAACTCTAGCTCGAGTCATGTTGACGGCAGTAAAGGGACTTGAGCTAGAGTTCGTCACGGCCACGCTAGCTGGAGATTCGTCTGTAAAAACTTGCATTTGTGGTCACAGAGGTGCCTGTGCTAACTTTCCTATGGTGTAGAAATATACCTAGTTGGATGAATCTTATTGTGGCTAGCTGGTCTAGTGGCTAACGCGACGGGCTGGAGTTTTGAGACTCTATGACCGCGGGTTCAATCCCGGCCGGGGGTATGGTTTATTCCCATTATTTACCTCTCTGTCTCTCCCTCTCTCTCTCTCTCTCTCTCTCTCTCTCTCCCTCTCTCTCTCTCTCATTCACATTCTCTTGGTGTTTTTCGTCTCTCCTTCACATTGGCTTCCGTTTCTCGGACATGTGTTTTCATTAAGTTTTATTAATGTTCTTGTGTTTGTGGCTCTCACTTGTTTCTTTCTCGTTTTCACTCACATTTTCCCATTTTTTCACTTACATTCTTTCTTTCTGTTTCTTTCACTCTCCATATCTTTCGCTCACTTTTCCTTTTTATTTTTCCCACTCACCCTCTTCCTCTCTGCATTTTCACATGTCCTGGTTCTCTGTTTCTTTCACTACCATGTTTTTTTCTATTTCTTTTACTCCCACTCTTTCTCTTTAACTCACAATCTCAACTTTAGTATCTTTACTTAATGTTACTTAATGTTAACAATGTAAGATAAACTCTAAGATATTTTTAATTTGGATGGGAGAAGGTGAATTTCTTTGGGTAATTCTGCCTTGGTGGGAAATGGCCTGTGTGGTTGATAGAGTCACCATCACTGGTGGTGCATCAAGAGACACGACCAGCACCACTGGTGGCGCAGCAAGAGTCACCCCCACTGGTGGCGCAGCAAGAGTCACCGCCACTGCTGGTGCAGCAAGAGTCACCCAAACTGGTGGTGCAGCAAGAGTCACCACCACTGGTGGTGCAGCAAGAGTCACCACCACTGGTGGTGCAGCAAGAGTCACCACCACTGGTGGTGGCGCACCAAGAACCACCACCACTGGTTGTGGCGCAGCAAGAACCACCACCATTGGTGGTGGCGCAGCAAGAACCACCACCATTGGTGGTGGCGCAGCAAGAACCACCACCATTGGTGGTGGCGCAGCAAGAATCACCACAACTGGTGGTGGCGCAGCAAGAATCACTACCACTGGTGGTGCGGCAAGAGTCACCAACGCTGGTGGTGCAGCAATTCACCACCGCTAGTGGTGCGGAAAGAGTCACCACCGTTGGTGGTGCAGCAAGAGTCACCACCGCTGGTGGTGCAGCAAGATTCACCACCGCTGGTGGTGCAGCAAGATTCACCACCGCTGGTGGCGCAGCAAGAGTCGCGACCAGCACCACTGGTGGCGCAGCAAGAATCACCACAACTGGTGGTTCAGCATGAGTCACCGCCACTGGTGGTGCGGCAAGAGTCACCGCCAGTGGTGGTGCAGCAAGAGTCACCGCCAGTGGTGGTGCAGCAAGAGTCACCGCCAGTGGTGGTGCAGCAAGAGTCACCACCACTGGTGGTGCAGCAAGAATCACCACCGCTGGTGGTGCAGCAAGAGTCATCACCACTGGTGGTGCAGCAAGAGCACCGACACTGGTGGTGCAGCAAGAGTACCACCACTGGAGGTGTCAACAAGAGTCACCACACTGTGGTGGTGCAGCAAGATCACCACCACTGGTGGGGATGCAGCAAGATCACCACCACTGGTTGGTGGCTCA